TGGGACAGAAGTCAGTAGGGAGGGGACTCACTGGAGGCTCAAGAGCATTTCAGAGTGGACACACTGTTCATTTTGAGTCTCAGGAAAACCCTGTCAGTGGTTTCGAGACTGAGAAAGGACCCAAGCTCCAGGTGAGTTTTCAGCAAGTTTGGGAAGTCCTTGCATTGAAATTGTGCAAAAGTGATTTCCCACCCACGCTCGGATGCCCAGCTGGATGCCCTCAGCTGGGTGTGGCTTTAAGAGCCTTTTTCTTGGGGTGCTGGTGGAGGGGCACCCTACAAAAAGACGGTGAAGCCAGCGGGTTGGAGGGGCCCGGATCCAGGGACCATGGCCTGAACAGAGTCAGTGACGCCAGCTTGCCCCGAGGAAGCATCGGGGACCAAATCGTAGACAAACTGGCTGGAGGAAGAGAAGGCCATGCTGGCCTGGCACAGAGCTGTACATGGAAGGCCGTCTCACAAGCTCACCAGTCAAGACGGCGGTGCCGCAGGGCGTGGCTGGAGCGAGCTCTGCAGCACGGTGTGGGTGATGGAGGTTCAGGGGCGGGAAAGCCGGCCCCCGCTGGCACCATGCTGCCAGGAAGAAGACTTTCACGTCCCTCGTGGCGTTTCATGCTGTGCACAGACTACTCGGATGAAATAAACCTTGAATTTGAAATGGACACTGCTTGTGCCCCCACCATGAGGGGCTGTGTCCAAGGATGGGGCGATGGACGCAGCCAGACAGACAAAGCACACGTGGCTTGTAACCCAAAATAGGAATAACCCCTGGCCAGTCCATGGGACGGGAGAAGAACGTGGCCAAGAAAATAAATGGGCAGCACTGATCTCTGGTGCAGAAGACTCTCTTCCCTCGACCGTGCGGGGCATCTCTGCCTGGGCGGAGTGTGGATGGGGCTGGCATTATCCTGGAGAAGCCGACACGCTGGACCTCCGCTGGCACCAAGGCCTGCCCCATGGTATGAGCTGTGTCTTTCCCAAGCCCAGGCCCATCAAAGGTCATGAAACACAGGGAGGCATGGTGACACAGGGTGTCCGGGTAACCTTCCTGTGTGGGACCCTGACAGAGGGCATCTGGTCTTGGCACAGACTCGCAGCAGCCATGCCTGCTGTTCCTTGCTCGTGTGGGACCTCTCTGCACAACTTGTGAGATTCCAAATCAGCTTTAAAAATAAACTTCATTGTTGAGAAAGCCTCTTGGGCCACATTTGGGGGCTGTTTTTCTGAGGGTCTGCTCCCTGGCACTACTGGCCTAGGTAAACTTAGCTTATCATGAACGGTTCACAATGTAATGATTACCTAAAGGGTTGAATTGAGCCGTGTGTGGAGGGGGAGGGGGACGAGGGATGGGGGCAGCTGGGAATGGATGTTCTGCTCTGCCAGCCCCGCCCCCGCCCCGTTCAGAACACAGACCCTGAGGGTTTCACTCAGAGACCCCCTTCCAGCCCTGTCATCCTGAGTGGGCCTGTGCCGAGGGCCCCAGGCAGGGCAGGAAGAGACAGCAGGGAGGCAGCTGTCCCCAGGCCTCCCAGGAGTCAGTCTCTCAGAAGTGCATGCTGCAGAGAGGAAGCGGCAGGACCTAAGGGAAGAGGGGTGGGGTTGGCAAGGCCGTGTAGAAATGTCAAGGAGCTGGGTCAGGCCCATCTCAGGGCAGTGCAGGCTCCGTGAGGTGGTCCCCAAGGCTCCGCCACACCATTCTGCAGTCTGGCACTGGCAGCCCTGTGCCACAGTGGTGGCTGGAATAGGGCCCTCAACGTAGTGGCCCAGGGTTCAGGTAAGAAGGGTCCAGCCACACCTGGCACCTGCAGCATGGGGCCAGAGTTATCGTGAAACCACACACCTTGAGAACCTGGGACGGGTCTGAGGCTTGCTGCTGGTCAGGAACCAACCAAATAGAGGTCCTGCTGCCCAGAAGGTGTGGCAGGTTCTGATGCGGAAGTGAAGCACCCCCACCCCCACCCCCAGGTGTGTACAGGTGAAGGGGCCCTCCAGAGGTGGCAGCTGTGTGTCTGCTAGGGGCCAGGTGGTCTCTGCTGCTGCTCATTGTGAGAGACCTTGCTGAATCTTGGGCGCCCCTCAGAAGGAACCCTCAGAAGGACACGTCTCCGGAGAAGGGCCAGACCTGCGCTCGAGGAGGCTGCCCGGCACCAGCAGTCACTCCAGAACCCGCAGGCAATGCAGGCAGTAGTGAAGTGGACCCGGGATGCGGTGACTGAGCCCGGGGCCGTTGCTGTGGCCTGGCTGCGTGCGTGGACGCCACTGCTCTGGGCACAGCGAACGTCCTATAACGTTCTGCACTAGGTGCTCTGTGACCTGAAACCGACGTTTCCTGATGGACAGCAAACTCACACTTCCACCTGCCTGACTAGGAGGCGCGCAGAAGTTATCTTCACGGGCAGCTGTTGGGATACTGGACTGGAGCCCAGCTGCCTTTGACCCCTTCGGTTTCTAAAGAATCGTGCATCCTCACGGTCTCTCGTGTTGGGCGCTCAGTCTCGCAGTTTGTTGTGAGATTTTTGGAACAGCAAAATCCATTGTGCCTCTGGCACGCATTCCTGCTGTGGAGAAGGGAGTGCCTGATGAAGCGCCTCACCCTCCTGCAGGACACCAGATAGCCCGGGGAAATGGGAATGGAAACCCTGGAATTACTAAGAATTGCATGAACCCCAAAGGAGGCCAGGGCCTGACTGGGGACCAGACCCCCTATTGTGTTGCTGGAGTTGGAGAAAAAGGAAAGCCAGCCCGCAACAGCCAGAACACCTCCCAGGTCCTCGCACCTGGCCTGGAGAGCCTCTCAAGACCGCTTGACTTGTTGGACGCGAGAGACAGGGGTCTGCGGAGCCACGAGAAGATGCGTAAGAAAGAAGACCCCAAAGTGGATGTCAGAAGAGACTCTGAAACTTGCTCTGGAAAAACTTGCACATGGAAAGAAATGATCAAAGAACCGAACAGGAAATTTCAGAGGACAGCCGGAGAATGGAAATCCCACACCCTTTGCCCTGATCCTGCGGAACCTGCCCGTGGACAGTCTTCCAAACAGAACAAGGCAAGAGAGTGTGTGCCAGGGAAGGACTGGAGGACGGCTTAGTCACAACCCGAGAGATGTGGATGGCACGACCTGTTTGTTGAAAGCAGGAGGGCTTGAAGCCCTTGCTGATGACGATCCAAGACCGCAGCCTTCAGCCAAAGTCCTCGCCTCTAGATCAAGCGATAACAGCGTTGCAGAGACCAGGTGGAAGGCAAGGGCTTGTTTCGCTTGGATTCATAATTAAGGCTTGTGGAAGCAGCTTGTGGAAGCAGCAGTCAAGAGATCAAATCATGCTGCACTTGGGTAAACCCGCTGCACAGGCCTTTAGAGTACTGAAGGGCGGAGAGAGCAATTGGAGATTCCCAGCCACGGTCTTTGCAGTCACCTTGTGTGCGTGCGAGCGCTGCACGTTACGTAAAGAAGACTGAAGAAGCACCGATGCATGTGAGCGGCGCGGGAGAAGAATGCTGGAAGGACCATGCACTGCTGAAAGCACAAGTGGATTTGTCTCGGCATCTGTGAGCAACTGGACATCCCCTTTCAGAAAGGTCTCAGGGAGGAGACGAGCCAGTCAGGGTGCAGTGTAGCAACGATGAAACATACAACTTTCCTCTAGTTCCTGAATTCCTAAATGCTTCCCCCCTCTCCCCCACCTCTATACTATCATGATTCCCAATTCTACCTTACAAATCTGGCTAGACCAGAGGATGTACACTGATACAGATAGGAATTGGAAACACAGGGAATCCAGGACAGATGATCCCTTCAGGACCAGTGCTGAGATTGGCGATACTGAGAGGGTGGGGTGGAAAGGGGGAACCGATTACAAGGGTCTTCATATAATCTCCTCCCTGGGGGACGGACAACAGAAAAGTGGACGAAGGGAGACGTTGGACAGTGTAAGATTTGACAAATAATAATTTATAAATTATCAAGGGTTTCTGAGGGGGGAGGGAGGGGGAAAAATGAGGAGCTGATGCCCAGGGCTTAGGTGGAGAGAAAATGTATTGAGAATGATGAGGGCAGCGAATGCACCAATGTGCTTTACACAGTTGATGTGTGCATGGATTGTGATAAGAGTTGTATGAGCCCCAATAAAATGATTTTAAAGAAATGGATCTGTCTCGGAAGAAGTGCTCCTTAGAGGCAAGGATGGCGACCCTTTGTCTCACGTACTGTAGGCACGTGGTCGGGAGAGACCTGTCCCTGGAGAAGGACATCATGCTTGGTAAAGTGGACGGGCAGCGAAAAGAGAAAGGCCCTGGAAGAGCCGGTTGACACAGTGGCTGTGACGGGGGTGCAGGACCGGGCAGTGGGGGCCACTGTGAATCAGAACTGCCCTGATGGTACCTCACAACAGCATCTTAATTTAAAAACAAACTTCTCTCCAAAGTTACTTAAGCCAGGGCGTCTCTAAACACTGGCGTTACCTCTTGTTTCCCCACCCCGCCCCGATGTGCCAGCACCTGAAAGTCAAGTTCCGCACCCTGTGCCTACGAGCTGTGTGGTTGGTCTGCTTGAAGCCCCACCGTCACGTGGAGGGACTTTTCTAAATAAAAACACTCATGGGTCAAACATTTGCTTTTTTAACCATTTTACAGTATAAAGTTCACCGGCATTTATTGCATTCCCCATGCAGGGTAACCACTACCCTTCCCATCCCCCCAGACCGAAGAAGCTCAGCACCCCTCAGCCGTGACTCCCCAGCTCGGCCCCTGGTCAGCTGACCTCGGACCGGTCCAGGTGTCCACAGCAGCCACTTGGAGCAAGTCTGGGGGAGAAGCCTGGCTGGGCACCCAGGTCCACTGCTGGGCCCTGTGGGCTGCTGCCCTGGTCACGAGTTGGCGAGTCGGGAAGGAGGATGGTGGTGGTCAGGGTGCGCAGGCCCACGTGTGCTCCCGCCTTGATGTTGCAGACGGCCAACGGGAACGTGGAGGCCAAGGTGGTGTGCTTCTACCGACGCAGGGACATCTCCAGCACGCTCATCGCCCTGGCTGACAAGCACGCTAGTGAGTCCCAGCCCACCCTCCCTGCACCCCCGCACCCCACCCCTGGACACACAGCTGTGATGGGCATCTGAGGGCAGTAGGACCCGGGTCTATCTGCTGCTGTAGGGGAGCCTGCGGAGTAGAGCAGAGAATCCACAGGCATCTCCCAAGGGGGGTAGAGGGGGAGACCCAGAATGTTCTCTTAGAGCCCATAGCCCTTCCCTGGGCTTTGCCCGCCCTCCAGCCACCAGCAGCATCAGGAGCGGTGAAGGGCCTGTGACCCGAGGCCGGTAGGTCTGAAGTGGCAGCTGTGCCACCAGGGGCATGCAGGTGCTGCTACTGCCAGGCCTGCAGGCCTGACCAGCTGGACTCTAAAGGTACCTTTTGTCCTCCCAGGACACTGGAGGTGGGGTCCAGGGTAGGCTGTGGGCTCCCCGGGGTCACCTGGCCCCATGTCCAATGGCCCTTGCTCTGTCTGCTTGCTATGAGTGTCCAGTGCAAGGGCTCATCTTCAGGGATGGGGTGGGGGGGTGCACACTTGAGACAGAAGGGCTTTTGTGGATGCTGTGGTGCCTCCAAACTGCCCGCTCTCTGTGTCCTGCGGTCTCTGAGCCCGAGCTCCAGGTGGCTCCAGGGGCAGGTCATGACTGGCTGGTGTGTTGGGTGGATTGCTGATGGCCTGGGATGGTTGTCACTCTCGGGTTGGGCTGCTGGGTCCTGTGTCCAGAAGAGGCCAGCGTGGTCTGTTCTGGGAGGGGGAACCCCAGTAAGTCAGTGGGCATTGAGGCCCTTCCCCTTCCCTGGAAAGCTGTGTGGGAGACCTGCCTGGGGACACATCCTGTGCGTGTGCTTGGCTCCCGGTGGGGTGAGATCTACTTTACAGGTTGGTGTGTGTGTGTGTGTGTGTGTGTGAAGTGCATGTGTATCAAGTGGTTGTATGGGAGAGTGTTGCGTGCACGTGTATGGGGCATGTGTTTGTGTGTATACATGCATCTGATGCATATGTATGTGTGTGTGTATGTGTGTTGATTGTATGTGAATATAATTCAAATGGACATGGGTGCAGCTGGCCCATGGCAGGCACAGCTGAGCCTCCAGTCAGGCATAGTTAGGGTCCCTCCAGTTTGGTCAGGGTCAGTGAGGAGGGGCCAGAGGGGTGGGAGACAGACTCATGGGTGAAGTGGGAGATGGCCATGAAGGGGGCTGCTGTTAGGAGGCTGTAAGTGGGGCCACTCCTAGGGTCACCACCAGGCCAGTGTGCAGAGCTTGCTTAATCCCAGGCTCAGATTGCTTAGGGCCACCTACCAGGATGTAGCTCACCTACACTTCTCTGAGTGTGTGTGTTGGAGGGGGTGGTGGTCTCAGCCCCCTTGAGGTGATTCCCAGGGTTGTAAGAATGTGGGGCATTGGTCAGGGCTTGGACGAGGACTCTGAGTGAGAGGTGGCCTCTCACCAGGCTGGGCCACTCAGAGCCGCCAGGCGTGCTTGAGGCTAGGACTTCCCAAGGCTGCCACAGGGGGTCAGCAGAGTGGCATTGGGGTGCTGGCCCAGCCAAGAGGGCAGAATTTGGGCTGAGCACCGAGGGCATGCTTGGGTCTGGGGCCACCGCGGAGCAGTAGGGGCGCCATGCCCGGCCTCCCTCGCCAATGTCCTGGCCACGCCCTGCCCTGCCCTGCCCATGGCCACTGGCTGTACTGCTGCCCTGACCTTGGCTTCTCTCCTGTCCAGCCTTGTCAGTGTGCTATAAGACTGGACCTGGGTCGGAGAACGACGAGGAAGGTAAGGAGGTCCCTTTGTGGGCAGGCTGCACCTCCACACCCGTACCTTCCCCGTGAAAGCCCAGCCTTGGCTGAGCTATCAAGCGCCCCCCTTGGCTGGCCTTGTGGGGCTGTGAGGGCGGGCTGTACATGAACTCGTGACTGCCAGGGCCCCCCTAAGCGTGGGCTACGGAGCAGTGTGGCCCCTGCAGCTGAGGTGGGGCCTGCGGACTGGCCACCGATTACCCCCCCCCCAGGTGTGTGGTGGCTAGTGGCCATCTCTCTGCTCCCCCCTCCTCAAGGGGCACCTCCCTTTTCTGCTCCCTGGCCCCTGCTGCCCAGGGAGGGGTGGGGCCAACCCAGAGCCTGAGCAACTGTGTCCGCAGGGGAGCCGGAGGAGGAGATGGAGAACCCCGAGGTGGTGGAGCTGCCCGAGAAACTCAAACACCAGCTGCGGCACCGTGAGCTCTTTCTGTCTCGGCAGCTGGAGTCCCTGCCCGCCACCCACATCAGGTGAGGCAGCAGGCCACCTGGAGGCGGGGGCAGTGTCACGCCCGCGCCACACCCCTTATGCCCACTTGTCTCTTCCAGGGGCAAGTGCAGTGTCACGCTCCTCAATGAGACGGAGTCGCTCAAGTCCTACCTGGAACGGGAGGTGAGGCGGTGGTGCCCTTACACCCCAGCTCCAAGACCCCACCTCACCCTCATGCCAGGCGAGCTGTCCCCATGGGGCACACGTTACCGTCATGGCCACTGCCTCCATCAACACCCTCCCTGTCCCTGTGCGACCGCCTGCTGCACAAACAGCACGCCGCGGAGCGTTCACGAAGGGGCAGGGTCACCCTTGGCTCCCACTGGGTGGGTGCCCAGGCCTGTGGAGTTGGCCATTGTGAAGGGCAGTGCATTGGGTGGGGCCTCACCGCGGTGTGAGGGTGCTGTTCCTCTAAAGAGCGTGGACCACAAGGGACTTTGTGAGGTTAAGCCTAAGGAACTCTTCGTCCTGACGGGTGCTCAGGCACTGGCGCTCCCAAACTGCCAACCGTGGGTCCTGGCTTGGGCCATGGAGCTACCCACCAGTATGCTCGGGGTCTGATGAGTGGCCACTGGGGAGACCAGGTGGCTTCCCGGTGCTGACACCCCTTCGTTACCTAGGGAACAGGTGACTGTAAGTAAACATCTGGAGCCAGTGAGTGAGGAAGAGCGTATGTCAGGGCACCAGGAGCACGTGCCTGTCCACACTTGCCCGGAGTTTAGGGTCCCAAGACCTTGTAGCCTTCCTGCACGTGCCCAGTAAACTCCAGGCTGCTGCCCTCGAAGGGGCTCCCCTGTCTGCATGATGCCGGAGTTCCACCACACCCTCTTACTTGAACTCTGTGAGCCAGAACTCCTGCTCTAGGGGTCCGGAATGGCCCCTGGGTGTTCCATGCACCCCCCTTTGTTCTTGCTCCCATTGCTTGTCCCTGATGCTGAAGTACGTCCTCTGTCTATTTCACTAGCTTGTCTTGTCCTCTCCCTGTGCCCAGCCCACAGAGGGAGGCTGGGCAATCTGTAACGGGTAGAGGCACCACTTCCTTCCCATGGCATAGTCCCACCCCTCACACTGTGGGCAGGGTCAGTAGAACATGGACGGTGGGCAGGGTTAGGTGGTAGGTGAGTAGGCAGGTGGGTGGCTGACTGGCCATATGGTGGATGTGCAGACATGATGGATGGATGGGTGATTGGATGGGCTGGTGGCCAGATGGATAGGCAGGTGAGTGGGGCGATAGATAGCTGGATGGCTGGGGGTGGGTGAATAGATTGGATGGTGGGTGGGTGGAAGGATGGATGGATGGATGGATGAGTAGATGGATGGGGTGAGTAGAGAGATGCATGGTTGGATGGATGGTGGGTGGTGGATGGGGTGGGGTATGAGTAGGGGAGGAGTGGGGAGACAGTGCACAGGTGAGAGTGAGAGTGGGACCGCAGACGGGTTCTGGATGTCCCCAGGAACCCACATCCGGAGGGTGGGTGTCAGAAGAACAGTGGGGCCTGGACGAGGATGTGCAGGCTGGAGCCTGGTGTGTGCACCTGCACGGGGTACAGAGTGGGAGGGGCTGTGTGGGTGACTGGCACCTGGAGAGCGAGGGGCCCCCTGGATCCACGACCTGACCGACAAGGGAGTGGGGGGGAGACTGTGGAGGTGGGACTGACTGGCGCCCAGGAGGAGCCCTGTGATGGCAAGAGCAGCTGGCAGGGTTGTCCTGGTGCAGCTCGCACAGTGGAAGGACCCTCGGACCTGTGCCTGGCCCTGGAGTGCTGTGTCCTGGTGGCAGGCCCGCACGTGCGACACCCTCCCCACCTGGAAGTGCCTGCTGTGGACGTGGGCGACCAGCTTGTCTATCGAAAGCAAATCATTCTTCAGCAAGGAGAAGACATGCTGGTGCCCGGGGCCTCTGGGCGCCAAGGGTCCCCTGCTCTCTCCCACCGGGCCATGCCCCCCAGCACAGACTGACCTGCGCTGTCTTGTGTGGCTTTTTTCAGGACTTCTTCTTCTATTCTCTTGTCTACGACCCCCAGCAGAAGACCCTGCTGGCTGACAAGGGGGAGATCCGAGTAGGGAACCGCTACCAGGCTGACATCACTGACCTGCTGAAGGAAGGTACGGGCTGCCGGGCCACCCTTGAGTGGTCGCTACTCAGAGAGTCTTTGCTTCTTGGCAGGGGTCACTCCATGGACTTCCACATCTTCTGGTGGGTCTGCAGGCCTTTCCTTGCCTGCTTGTGGGCAGCCTTGTGGGGATACTGCCTTGTGGCTGGGGGTGGGCAGGGCTAGGCACTTAGACTGGGGCATGGCAAGTGTGGACACGGGCAGATGGCTCAGGGGCAGGCATGGACTAGGGCAGGTGTGGAGATAGATGCTTGTGAGGAGGGCTGGACATGGACAGATGTGGGCCCACGGTGCAGGTGTGGACTCCGGCAAGCATAAACTCGGACAGGCGTGGATGCAGGCAGGCATGGACTCCGAGGGAGGTGTGGGCTCGTGGGGAAGAGGTGGGCACGGGCTGTGTCCTGCTCATCCCTTCCATGGCCCCTAGCTCACTCTTCCTGGCTGACTCTAGAAGCTGATGGTGGTCTGCTGCTCTTGATCCGATCGACCCCAGCTCTGGGAGCACGGAGCGGCCTTGCTTGGCTGCTTCTTCCCTGAGGACAGTATCGATGATCCCAGCTCAGTGGCTGGTGGCACCAGAGCCTGAGTGTGCCCAGCATCAGCTGCTTCCCCACCCTCACCTCTGGCCCTGGTCCTCCTCCTGCCACACCTGTCCCCACTCACAAGGAGGGGCCCCTGTGGCCTAAGGGGAACCCTTAGCCAGATGAGCAGAGGGGCACCTCTCCTCATGGGAGACCACCTGCTGGACCCCCTGAGCCAAGCTGGCAGCGCAGGGCCCACGGTGCGGTCAGGGTACTGGTCCAACAGTGGGGCTTTGTGGTGCTGGACACAGGGCAGTGAGCAGCCGCTGTGGCCTTGGGCCAGTGATCCTGGCTCAGAAACCCTTCCAAGTCCTGAGCACCCGGGCTGCAGCGCACCCCTGCCGCCGCCCAGCGGAGAGGGACTCATTCTGCTTGTGGGGCTTCTGGCCCCCCCCCCCCCCCACACACACACACCTGGACTGCGAGGGAGTGTGGTGACAGGGAGTGGGAGGCACGGGTCGGCGTAGACCCTGCTACCTCTGAGCTGTTGGGACATGTACACATACACACCTGCATGCCCATGCTCCCTGCCACCTCATCAGGTAGACCTGAGTGAGGAGGGCGGCCAGGAAAGCAGTAACGTGGCTGGTGTGGACCAGTCGGTGTGCAGGTGCAGGCGTCCTGGGTGCTCTCGGAGTGCTCTCGACTTTGCATGCAAGGCTGTCGAGTGAGCCACAGGCCCGGGGCCGTGGCACCTGCTGCTGCTCTCAGCGTGAATAAGAGCGTGTGCATGGTAGACACGCATGGCCCATCCTGTCCTCGAGTCCCCCGGAATGTCCCCCAAGTCCTCCGTGTCCCAGGCCGGAGCACTTGGTTGTGAACTGCTCAGAGAGCTGCCTGCTCGGTTTCCCTGGTTTGCAGCTCCTGGGGCAGAGTCGGGGCTCGTCTCACGCTGCCTGCCACCCACCCTGGTTCGTCACACATGCACAGTCACTCAGTGCCACCCCTTGGAGGTGCCTGGCTCGGGGGATGGACAGAGGTCTCACGGCCCTGCCTGCGTGCAGGGCCGCCATCTTTGCCAAGGCCCGTGCATTCTCTCTTGGCAGCCTGTTGATGCCTGACCATTTCCATCCCATCCCAGGTGGCTGTTTTATAAGGTGTGTGGTGCCCCACTCACTTCTGAGGGTCCCACATCTGTGTGTGTCTGTCCCTCCAGTCTGTGCGCCGTGGTGTGGAAACGGCTGTGTGTGTGTCCCGAGTGGTGCAGTATGGAGATGGCTGGCTGTGTGTGTGCACGCTGCCCGCCGTGTTAGCTCTCTGTGCTGCCACTTGATTGGACAGATGGTCACTGGGTCTCATGGCCACCCAGTTCTGGGCACACATGTGAGGAGGACTGGTGTTGGGCGGATGGGAGATGCCACTTCTCAGAGCCCCTGCTAAAGATGGCAGCCCCAGGAAGACCCTGCAGGTCAAGGGGAGGCTCTGGCTGCTGGAGGGCGGGCACACGGGCTTCTTGGACTCAGCTCTGCCTCAGGAGGGGCTGATGGAGGGTGGGACTGGGTGAGGCAGCATCAGGCATGAGCAGGGGTCCTGTTTTGCCCACCTGGTGGTCAGAGGGCGAGGGTTCCCTGCAGTGGCCCGGGGCAGGCATTCCCTGTGGGCATCATGCTCCCCTGCACCCTCGGCCCTGCCGCCCTTCCCCACACGGGCCGGGCTCAGAGCAGTGAGGTCGGAAGCGCTGGGTCACAGGCCAGCTGTGCCCAAAGGAGCAGTGGGCACACAGCTCCCAGGGCCAGTGCGCAGCGTGTGACTCACTACCCGGCTTTGAAATCAGCATGCAGCCCTTACCCTGCAGACAGCGGTCCTGGGCCCCCTCGGCATGCCTCCCGACAGTGCCCAGGGGCCTTCTGTTCTGGCTCCCAGTGGGACACCTTTCCCATGCCCACTCTAATTATGCCTCAGCCAGCACCCGCCAGAAGGGCCCAGCCAACCAGGGCTGTGGGGCCAGTGAGAAGGGGCCCTTTGTCTCCACGGGCCGTGCACACTCGTGTTGCTCTGAGGCTACTTAGGGCTGCATGTGCTGACAGGTCTCAAGGTGAGACGTGGCCTTGGAGAGTGGCACGTCACCGCCCGCCTGAGCAGCGCCAGTAGAGTTCTTGATGGGGGCATCCGGCCCCCACTCACACCCAGCCTACCCTGGGCTGTGCAGCGGGGCTGTCATCCCATCCCGAGCCCCCCACCCCAGGCCTGGAGGGCATGAGGGTGCCGGCCTGGGGGCTGCTTTCTCACGAGACTGCTGTCTCCCGTCTGGCAGGCGAGGAGGACGGGCGTGACCAGTCCAGACTGGAGACCAAGGTCTGGGAGGCGCACAACCCGCTCATTGACAAGCAGATCGACCAGTTCCTGGTTGTAGCCCGGTGAGCGGGGCGTGGGTGGGCTGGCTGGAGAAACGCCATCCTGAGGGGACTTACCATGTGGGGTCTCCCTCCCAGTGGCCCCTGAAGACAGCTGCTGAGGGGCTGGACTGGCTGTGTAACCTGTGGGCCAACAGGGTAGATGGGGCACTGGGAGGGACAGAGGGCATGGGCTGCAGTGCCCAGGGGCCCGCCCAGCTTGTGGATCGGCTCCCTCAGATGCAGGCGCCCAGGGTGAGGGGGGACCCCACTGTCAGTTGATGCGGATGAGCTGGGGTACATACCTCTGCGGAGCCCACCTGCAGCAGCTGCACGGCGCTGTGACACGACCTCTCCTGTCCCCAGCTCCGTGGGCACCTTTGCACGTGCACTGGACTGCAGCAGCTCGGTCCGGCAGCCCAGCCTGCACATGAGTGCCGCAGCCGCCTCCCGGGACATCACCCTGGTGAGCGTCACTGCCTGCCCGGGCCAGTCGGGCAGAGGGAGCCTGGTGGACCGAAGGCTGCTCTTCCTCACCCCTCCGCTCCCAGAGCACTGTGCTGGACCCTCCCTCCATTGGCTGGGCGTGCTGGGGAGGAGACCAGTGTATCCGGAAGGAAGTGGGCCCCCACAGCATGAGTGACTTTCGCTGTCTCCCGCAGTTCCACGCCATGGACACGCTCCACAGGAACGTCTACGACATCTCCAAAGCCATCTCCGCCCTGGTGCCACAGGGCGGGCCTGTGCTATGCCGGGACGAGATGGAGGAGTGGTCAGCCTCGGAGGCCAACCTCTTTGAGGAGGCCCTAGAGAAGTATGGGAAGGACTTCACAGACATCCAGCAGGACTTTGTGAGTGGCAGGAGGGAGGACAGGGACACTGCATCTCCAGCATGGGGCGGGTCTGCCTACTCCTGGCCCTCACAGTCCAGGGAGGGCCTTGTTTCAGGAATGGGCAAAGCCGAGCCCCGTGCGAGCCATGTAAAGGTGCACACTCCCCTGCGGGGGCCTCTGCACCCAGACCTACCAACCCGACCCTAGTTTTGGGTTTCTTACATTTTTTTATGTATATTTTTATTTGTTTTCACCAAACATTTGTATCCTGAGTCTGGGTTCTTCTGTGTCATGAGCTCATTTACCCCAACCCCCATGGGAGCCCCAGAGCCAGCAGCGAGCTGTGGCCCCCAAGTCTCCCCCCATCAAGCCCACTGAGAATCAGTGTAAGGAAGCACATCCCAGTGTCAACAGCAAGCTCCTGCCCTCCTGGCAGGTTGGGAGGGACAAGCAGAATGGGACTTGACCTCCCAGAAAGGAGGCCACGAACCCCGTCAGCCCACAGATCACCTTCCTGTGATCCAAGAGTCTCATTGGCAGAGTAAGTGGCAAAGCTCTCTGGACAGAGAGCCAGATGGGCACAACCGGTTGGGAGATACCCAGTCAGCAAAAGAAGTAAACAAAGGTGACTGGTGCCTCTCGGGCTGGAGAGCTAGCCTGGAAGGATAAGTGACCCTGATGTTGGCCATCCCCCAGGGGTGGTCAGGGGCACAGCTTTCCACCCTGGAGCAGTGTCTGCTCTTAGGAAGAGCTGTGGTCTCAGCCAAGTACCAGGGCAAAAGAGAGTTGTGTGGGCGGACAGCTGGTCTTCCAACTTGGCCAAAGGACCAGGGGCCTATGAAAGCCATATATGTATATAATGTTGGCTAAAGAAGCTAAACAAAATGAGTGACCTTTTCAGGCCAAAAATGAGTCTGCTGACAGGAGCTAGAAATAGAACATCCGTTGGACTGAAAGCAAAGCCAGTGGGTCCACACACGGGCGAGCAGCCTTTAAGGCGGGATGTTATGGAGAGGCCTCGTCGCCAGAGTTGAACCTGCATGTTTCAAACAATGTAGCAGCAAGAAATAAAGCAAGCCTCGTAGAGATGGAAGAAGTCGAAAGAGCCTTCCTCTGGGAGCACCGCCTTCCCACATTTTCCCGATCAAATGAGCTGAAAATAGGAAGCTATCTGAATTCAATATTTAACAGAGCAGAATTACTAAATAAATTTACCACATGTACTTGTGTAGAAGCTGAGTTTTTCAGCACATTTTTAATGCAGTTTTTGTGATAAAATTAGCCTCGGCTAATATTTGGGTTGGCTTATACTTGAGTATAGAGGGCGTGTCTTATAAATACCAAAAAAGCAGAAGCTTAGCTGGGTTCTCTTAGCTATGTTGTTGGACTTTGCTAAGTGTAAAAACTCAGTCCTCTGGAAATTGAAACCCATCCTAAAGCGTAATTTAAGAAGGAACTCAAGAGTATACCCTAGAATACTAGGAAGCAGTCTTGATGGACACACTGCACTCCTGAAGTACTTGGGATGCAGCCAAGGAGGCACTTTGAGGACAGTTTGTAGCTTTAAATGCTATTGTCCCTGGGAGGACAAATAAATACTAACTTGAGCAGTAGAATTAGCCATTACCGAAGGAGCAGGGAATCTGTGAGAAAGGGAGCCATAAAGTAGCCCAGAAAATAAGTACTTTAAGAACCCTGGCGCTGAGAACCAGGTGAAGCAAAGCCACCTGCAGTGCCCTGGAGGAGACACAGCCTGTGCCCTGCCGGGCTCTGGCCGACACTCGGATCTGGAATCTTCCCAGCTTCCCTCCCTTGGGGCTGGCATGGTAAGACTTGTGGTACTTGGCACCTCATTTGCAGAAGGAGAAAAGGCAGCCAAGACAAAGCTGCAAGCTCTGGCCGCACCCCGCCCCACTCACCCTGACTCCCACTGCTTGGACCTCTTCACACAGAGCCCCTCCTGCCCTCTCCGGGGTAGCCCCCACTCCCGCCCCCCTGTGATGCCCCCCTCTCCCGCCAGCTCCCATGGAAGTCGCTCACCAGCATCATCGAGTACTACTACATGTGGAAGACAACCGACAGATACGTACAGCAGGTGAGCGTGGCCAGAGCCAGCCCTGGCCCCCGAGGCCACTGTGCTGACCAGCAGGCCTTTTCCTCTCCGAGCCCGTTATACCCACATCTCTGCCCCATGAATGGTGAGCTTTTGGCTTCCTGGGTCCAAGCTCCCCACCCACTGCAGAGACCCTCCCAGGCACTGGGCCCAGCGCTCCACCCTCATTGCATGCCCTGAGTCAGCCTAGCTTTCCAGCCAGCTCACTGCCCTAGGTGTGAGGGGATGTCCGCTGTGCCTGACTGACCTCTGACCCTCTGTTTTGTATTTTAAGAAACGCTTGAAAGCTGCCGAAGCTGAGAGCAAGTTAAAGCAAGTTTATATCCCCAACTAGTAAGTGTCATCACCCAAGCAGGGCGTTGATAAGCCCACCGTACGCTTGCGCACCCAGCTTGTAAGTGCCGCCCTTCACTTCCAGGGAGAGCTGATCGTAGGTGCTGGGCCTGTCGGGTGAGACCCTGGTTGGCCGGTCCCGGGTGGAGGCGGCATCTGGCCCCTTTGGGGATGTAGGGGCACTTGGCTATGGACCAAGCCATCCCACTGTGAAGCAGGCAGTGGCCAGCTCTGGCCATCGGCCTCTGAGGTGCACACACTGGAGCCGATGTGGGCCCAGAGGGCACTAGGACCAGTCACAGCAGGGTCTGCCTTCAGAGCCCCCCGCATGCTGCCCGCCCAGACACCTCTTCTTTCTTGTCCCCTAAGCAACAAGCCAAACCCAAACCAGATCAGCGTGAGCAGCACCAAGGCAGGTGTGGTGAACGGCACAGGGGCGCCAGGCCAGAGCCCCAGTGCTGGCCGGGCCTGCGAGAGCTGTTACAGTAAGTGGCGCTGTGGCTGGCACCAGGCGTGCCCCACAGACTGGCCTGAGCCCAGACAATTCTAGGGTGGCCCAGCTCGGGGAAGGGTCCGCTTCGTTCCCCCCGCTCCCTGGCCCCCGCACCTTCCCGCAGCCCACTCCACCCACAGCCCCCACACCCCCTCCCCCGCAGCCCACTCCACCCCCACCCTGCCCTGGCGGCTCAGCAGCACAGCATGGAGAATGCCTGTATGTGCATGGGGGGCGGGGTGGGAGTGCTGGAACACTCCGACGTCACTGGTTCTGTTAAGAACATGTGTATCTTCAACTTTGTTGTCCGTAGCCACACAGTCTTACCAGTGGTATTCTTGGGGTCCCCCTAACATGCAGTGTCGTCTCTGCGCCTCTTGTTGGACTTACTGGAAGAAATATGGTGGCTTGAAAATGCCAACCCGCTTAGACGGTGAGCGGCCGGGACCCAACCGCAGTTCCACGGTAAGCGGCTGCCTCCCCGTGTGGCCGGCTTGCTCGCTTCGGCCGGCCCCCGGTCATGGCGCTGTGTCGGGCCGCTGTGCCCCTTCCGCAGAGTCCCCACGGCGCCCCGGCCCGGAGCAGTGGGAGCCCCAAGTTTGCCATGAAGACGCGGCAGGCCTTCTACCTGCACACCACCAAGCTGACTCGCATCGCCCGGCGCCTGTGCCGTGAGATCCTGCGCCCCTGCCACGCCGCCCGGCACCCCTACATGCCCATCAACAGTGCCGCCATCAAGGCTGAGTGTGAGTGGCCCGCGCTCGCGGGGAGTGGACCTGCTGGGCAGGGCCCTCGGCCCGGTGCGGTGCTGGCTCATGGCGTGCATCCTCGCAGGCACGGCACGGCTACCCGAGGCCTCGCAGAGCCCGCTGGTGCTGAAGCAAGTGGTGCGGAAACCCCTGGAAGCTGTGCTCCGGTACCTTGGTAAGCTGGCACCCACCTGGCTCCTGCTGTTCACCCTGCAGGGTGCCCTGGGAAAACCACTGCTGAACCTGCTGCCTGGCCCCAGGGGTATGGCCACAGGACCCCATGTGTGAGGAAGCAGGGACACACACACACACACACACACACACACACACCCCACCCCACCCCCGGGAGGAAGCAGGGTGCTATACTGTTTCAACCCTGGAGGCCCTGCAGCAGTTATGCGTCCCATGTGGCTCCCTCACCCCACCCTGGTCCAGCCCCTCATGCCTGCTTATCCTGGGCATGCTACTCCGCCGTGTCCTGGGGAAAGGTGGTGGGCCTTTGGTAAGGGCTGGCTGAGATCCTGTCCAGCCCCCTGCACTTAGCCCACCTCAGGCGTTGGCCCCCAGGGCTCAGTTGGGCGCCCAGGAGGGGCTCGGTGGCCAGGCCGGCTGGTGAGTCAGCTGCTCCGCCTGGAGGTGGCTTTGTCTTGTAGGGGCATTCCAGGGCTGTGAGCTCATGCCCACAGGCAGACACTGGCACCAGCACCACTTATGGGTGGGGTCACCAGTCTGGTCTGGCCACACCCTGCAGGCGTCAGTTATTTCCAGCGCCTCAGTTTTGTTGTTGGTAGTAGCCCTCCTTCTTGATGGGTCTTCAGCTCCAATGGCCTGTGGGGTGGGGGGGGGCATGCAGTGGCGAAGGGGCTGGCCCTGCAGCTGCGCTTTCTAGGCCCACGGTGGCCTTGTTCTGAGGGTAGTGACCGCTCTCCGGTCCAGTGGAGGTCCTCAGGGTTCCCCCATGTGGCCCAAGGAGAAGGGGACAAGTTCTAGGAGCCCCTGGTGTTGCCACCTCCCATCTCCATGCCTTGCCCTGCCCTCCAGCTTGTAGACTGTGAGAAGGCCCAGAGGAACCTTAGTCAGTCTCCCAACCCCCAGCTGTCTGGGCAGGGGGCTTGCCAAGGTCAGTGTGGGGGATAGCATGCAGTGGAAGGCTGTCAGTGGTCACTGGTGCCCTGGCACATAGCCTGGCTTCTCGTCCTCCCCACCTGGCCCCCGCCCTACCAAGCAGCAGGTTAGCCACCATATTTCCCCAACAGAGACCCACCCGCGCCCCCCAAAGCCCGAGTCCACAAGGAGCGTGGCTGGCGCGCCTGGCAGCCTGACCCCCGCCAAGGCGGCCCCCGTTATCAACAACGGCTCCCCCACCATCCTGGGCAAGCGGAGCTACGAGCAGCACAACGGGACCGATGGTGAGCGCGGCTGTGAGGGAGGGTGCTGGCCAGGCCACCGCCGCCTACCCGCCAGCCCATCTGCTGACACTGTCTTCTCTCCCTCTCCCCCGGCGCTGCCAGGCAACGTGAAGAAGCGCCTCCTGATGCCCAGTAGGGGTAAGGCAGGCACACGGCCAGAGCCTGCGGGCCGTGTCTGTCTGTGCTGCCCATGCCTGGTGGGGGGGCGGGCGTGCAAGGCCCCGCGCGCCGGCGCCATGCTTGGGCTGTGGCTGCTGCATGCTTCTCTCCAGCGCTGGGCCCTGGGCCTGCTGTGGTCTTGTGCACGCCTCTGCTCACCCTGCACCGGGGCCAGCTCTGACTCAGCCGAGGGCCAGGTGTCCCCGAGCCGAGTGCCAGTGTCCGAGGCGGAGGGGCGACCTCTGGCAGAGGCAGCAGCAGGGCGAGCTTAGGGTGCCAGCGTGCCAGGGGCACCCCCAGAGGCTGAGCTGGACTCTTCCTGTCTGCCCTCATGGACCTCGGTGAGGCCACAGGGTGGACGTGGTTGCCCCACATGTCCCTATGGAGTCAGCTGGGCTGATTCCAGGCCAGGCCTCCCCATCTTGAAGGAAGGGGTTGGAGACCTTACACTCATATAAACTTAATTCAATGTGTCCCTCTGACACTGGGTGGCAGTGCACAGAGCGGACCCCTCGCTGTCCGTTCTGCAGCCCCTATGCCTTCATTATTGCCTACGCCATGCTGCGAGTGGGGTCCCGGGCATATGTTTGTGGTTTGTGGGCAGATGGATGTGGGCCTACGAGGCACCTCAGAGCGTGCAGCCCCCAAGACCCAGAGCAGCCCCTGTGTGGGGCAGGAGTACCCAAGGGATGCCCCACTCTGGGTTGTGGCTGGCCTAGTGGGACCCAATGTCCAGGCTCCATCCTGCCTCTGGGGTACGCAGTCTCTCTCGACTGCACTTGGGGTTCTAACCTGCCATTGGGGCCCCTTCTGAGGGGGAGAGGCGTGAACCTGGTGGGCTCAGCCGGCTGCCCCACCACTCCACACTTCCTCCCGCTCCATCCACTCCCCTGGAAGATGCCCCAGCCTGGGTCCCCTCAGCAGCCCCCTCTGCCGTGCTCTCGACCCTGCTGTACCCCCCATGTCGTGGGACCAGTCAGCTCCAGTCTTCACAGAGAGGCAAAGACTCCGCTGGGCTCGTGTATGTCCTGCTGACCACCGGGCTGGCGTCCACTAAGTGCTGTTGATTATTTTGAAAACCAGCCCCCAGTTCCAGGAGAGTCCCATGGCCCAATGGAGGCCACAGTCAGTCGCTGTCCAACCTGGCTGACTGGCCACCTGCCAGTCATTCGCCCGCGCGGCCCAGGGCCCTGTTATGTGGGGCACGGCCCTGCCAGCCTGCCCTCTAATACTGAGACGTGTGCTTTCTCCCCTCTGCCATCTGTGGACGGCTAGGAGCGTACCTTGGTAAGTGTCCCCCACCCCTGTGGTGGGTCGAGCAACTAGGTGGCAGAAGGTGTTGTGGCCTGGACCACTCACTGGGTCCTACTCCTGAAAGTGGCACAGCTCAGCTGGGAGAGGATGTTTGGAACGAGATGTGCGAGTGGGTAGCTCCATTCTGCTGACACCTTTGCCCCACCCCTGCCAGGCTCTTCCCCCTGAGAACTTCAACACGTGCTCATGGGCATGTGTGTATGCATGCTCATGGGCAAGTTCGTGCACACCCACCCTATTTGCACACTCAGTGCACACCCATGTGCCCGAGTATGTTCACACACACACCTGTTTGAACACTTAACCTACACACATTCGCACACGTGCCCACATGCACACCCACCTGTGCCTATACACTCACCCACGTACATGTACACTCATACACATGCACACATGCATGTCACTCACGCCTTTGCGCTGGGGCAGAGCAGGGAGGCCCCAATGGCTCTGAATGGACTCTGTTCTAGTTGAGGCCATGCTGGGGTCACCGGGGCTCAGCTGTGGGGTGCGCCATGACCTGGGTGCTTGTTTCCACGTGTTGGGTGGCTCCCAGTTCCATAAGGTGGAGGAGCACATGCCCTGGCTGGGCCCAGCCAAGCGGATGGGGAGGGTGTTATCTGCTGGCCAGGGCCCTCCCTGCCTCCTGCTGGGAGTCCATGCACAGCTCCGAAGCCTCGACCCTCCTATGCAGGCCATGGCTACCCATGGGCCATCCTGGGTCTTCAGGGATCTGTCCTCTTTTCTCCGTAGGTCTCACAAACCATGGACAGACCAGGCATATGGTAAGAGGGGGTCAACTCCACATGCAAAGGCCCCACCACATGTTCACGGGGTCCTGTCCCCTATCACCTGCCCAGCATACGCAGGACAGCGAGAGAGGGCTGTGCCGGCCATGGGGTGGGTGTGAGCCCTGGGGAAGCTGGCCTAGCCGGGGCGCCTGGCTCATCTCCGATGAGGCAGGGGAAGGGTCCCCGGGGACACGTCACCCCCTCCCACTGCCTGGTCCTGCCTTATCCACCAGCCATGTCCTTGCCTCTTCTTCAGGGACCAAGTCGAAACTTGCTGCTCAACGGGAAGTCGTATCCCACCAAAGTGCGCCTGATCCGTGGGGGCTCCCTGCCCCCTGTCAAGCGGCGGCGGATGAACTGGATCGATGCCCCTGATGACGTGTTCTATATGGCCACGGAGGAGACCAGGTGGCGAGGCCGTCCCCTGGGGCGGGGGGACGGGCCATTCCGTGCCCAGCCTCACTTCTGTGTGTCCCCGTGCCAGCAGGAAGGTCCGCAAGCTGCTCTCGTCCTCAGAGACCAAACGAGCGGCGCGCCGGCCCTACAGGCCCGTCGCCCTGCGCCAGAGCCAGGCGCCACCCCTCCGACCCCCACCGCCGCCTGTCAACGATGAGCCCATTGTCATCGAGGACTAGGGCGGCCCCCTGCAGACTGCGCCTGCCCGCTGCCCATGCCCACGTCACCGCCGCCTCCCCTCCCGGTGTTTGGTAGTGGCCCCTCCTGTCCCGCCCCTCCAGAGCGCGCCCCCCAGAACGCCTGCGGGGAGCGAGGTTAACTTATTCCTCCGAGAATGCCAGGGCCCCTAGCTTTGTGTTTCCTTTGGCCAGAGGGAGACCGGCCGCCGGCTCTCACCGCCCGGCTGGCACTGCAGGGCCTCTTGGCCCAGCGAGAGGCTGACCTGTGAGATTCCGTTGTGTTCTGTGGAAGGTGCCATTTTAAATTTTATTTTTATTACTTTTTTTGTAGATGAACTTGAGCTCTGTACCACTCACACCTGGAATGTTGGGGCCGGCGCAGCCACACTGCCCGCCGGGTTGGCCCTTGTCTTTTCAAGTAATTTTCATATTAAACAAAAAGGGGGAAAAGGCAACAAAAGACTGGTCCTCTTCCCCATCCTCGTCTGCCATCTCTGTGCTGTGACCTAGGGGCCCTCACCCCTTGGCTGCCCCGGGCTAGGACCCTGCGCACACTTGGCAGGTGGGACTCCCAGCTGCCAGCCCTCCTGAGCGTGCCTGCCACAGGGAGGGAGGGAAGGAGGGCCTCGTCCCAGCGGCCCCACCCTGGCGTCCACAAGTGCCCCTGCCATCCGCTTAGTGCAGTGGGCTGGGGAGGGACAGGGCTCACAGTCACAAGTCAAGTCGGGCATCTGCCTGTCAGTTGGGGAGCGGTGACGAGTCCATGAAGGGCAGTTACTGGGCATCTGCTACCAGCCAGTCCAACCTTGGGGTCAAAGTGGGACAAACCCCTTCCTCCACCCCTCTGCACCCCATGGAGCCTGCCCTGTGCCGCCCCCATTTGCCCTTCCTCTGCAGCCCTCCCCTGCCATTCCTGGCCAAGGGAAGCCCAACACCCTCTGGCAGCCTGCCCCTGGTGGCCAGCACAGCTGGTCAGTGTAGCCTGGGAGTCCAGGGGCCAGGTCACCCTGGCAGGGCCTGCCCAGCTGTCAGGCATCCTGCTCAGCGCCCAGGGGCCGCCCACCAGCAGGTGTGAGGTTTCTGAGGGGGGTTTCAGATCTCAGCCAGCCCCTTGTTCTCAGAACCCTACCGTGATGCTTCCCGGCCCGCAGGCCTGCTGGACAGATGGGTGCATTTGACTCTGCCAGGAAGGGTTTGTGGAGGCCCTGCCCTCCGTGTACCCCACCCCCCACTTCTGGGGCCAGGATTCAGGAAATCTGTGAGGGGCTAAAATAGAAACCACTTGTGTGCCCTCGGAGGCAGATAGGGGCGTCCTGGCCTCCAGGCAGTGGGTGACAGGCCTAGGTGTCCAGGATGCTGTTACAGCACACGCAACCCCCACCCAGAGCTGCTGGCTCCTCTTCCCAGCCATTTTCGGCTAATCTGAGGCCCTGCTGCCCCTCCCTGAGAAGTGCCCACTGCTGGGCTTATCTGCAGTGTCTGAGCTTGTTTGTATGTGGGTGTGGGTGGGGGGGAGTGTAAGAGGGCACCAGGCCAGGACTTTGGAAAAGGTGACTGCTGACCCCCCCTCCTCAGCCTTTCCAACTTTGGCCTGGGGGCTGCCAGGGGGTGTGGGGGCTTCTAGAAAATCTCACTCCCTTCCCTGACCCCTTTCTGTCCTCTGGCTTTGCCCCTTCAATCCATTTTGTCCTCTGTCCTTGCCTGAGCAATCCCAAAGCCCCTGGCTCTCTGTCTACCCCCGGGGGTGACCCTCTGGCCCTAATTTCTGCCATCCTTGATGTGAGAGAGCCTGTAGGGAGCCTCTCATAGGCCCTGGCCAGAAACACTGTCCAGGCAAGGAGAGTTAGGGGCCCCACCTGCCCCTGGGAGCTGGGCTGGAAGGGGCCAAACCAGGGCTCAGGAACTAGGGGGCTAGGACCAATAAGGTACTGGACCCACGAGCTTGTTCATTCATGCTCCTTTTCTGTGCCCCGTCTCTCAAGGGCTGAGTAGCCAGCTTGGTGACCCTGGCCTGTTTCCACCTGTCTGGGCACCCCAGGTCTTCCCCACCCCCACTCCACCTTGGCCCAGAGCAGACTGGGAAAGGAGGTACAGGGCTCAGTAACCTGGCAAGCATTAGGTAGTAAATGCTACCACGTGTGCGTGTGTGTGTGCCCATGTGTCCATCTCTGCCCCTGGTTGTGTGTGTGTGTGTGTGTGTGTGTGTGTGTCCATCCCTGCTCCTGGTGGGCCCTGCCCACAGCCTGGGCAATGGGAACCTGCCAATTTCTCACTGGCCTGGCCTCAGAGGTGGAGGTCAAGGTTTTTGCTCTGCTGCCCATCAGTCCATTGGAGGAAGCTGCTGACCCTCTGCCAGGACTGCAGCAGAGGAGGAAGGGGCGGAGCCAGAGTGGGGCCAGCACACTCCCTACCCCCCTGCTGCTCCACTCCCCCAGGGCCCATTCCTGAGCTGCCACCCACAGTTTCAGGCTTGGCTGGCAGGGCCCTCCCTCTCTTGCAGGTGTCCCTCCTCCACAGCAGGCCTGGGGAGGGGCTGCCTAGCTTGGGGCTCCCAGATGGGCCTCATGAATTATTCAGAGACATGGACACCCAGGCTGCATTAGGGGTCAGGGAACGCCTAGTCCAGTGCACTACCTGGGGTGGAGGAGGGCAGCCCTCTGCACTAGGAGACTGACCAAGGTGGCCCGCCTATCACCTACATGGGCTGGCTCAAGTCCAGATTTGGTGGGCAGGCTGGTCAGGCTGGTCAGTCGGGCTGGGTGAGGGGGGGTGGGGAGCACATATTTCTAGGCTGTCGTTGCCATGGAAATGGAGTGCTTGTGGTGCATGAGTGCTCCAGGAAGGAACTTCCTGCTAGGTGAGATTGGGGGTTGGGGGCTGGATGAAGACCAGGTCTGAGCAAGAATTAGCCCCAGAGCCCTTGGACTGACCCAGTACAGGACCCCTTCGGACACTGGCTCCATGGCCCATCAGGCACTGGGGCTGCGGGACACCCTGTGCTCACTTGCTGGCGATGCACCAGACATAAGGCCAGGCGTAAGCAGGTTTCAGTGCCAGAGCCACACTGGGCCCTGCAGAGGTATAAGCAAGCGGGGCTGGGAGGCTGTCCTGGTTGGAGATCAGAAGACCAGGCAGAGGTCTGAGGAGGAGATAGAGCCCTAAAAGGCACCAAAGAGGCAGGCTGGCAAGTGGCCACTGGATGGAGGAGTCCTGACAGCCCTTAAGGGCTGGGAGGTGTGTGGGGGTTGCAGTATGGAATTAGGCAAAGCGCATGGCCCGAGGGCCCTCACCCCACAACCTTCCATCCATGGCCTCTCTGGCTCCTAGACAGCAGGACCTTGATGTTAGTGGTCCCCACCCGCCTGCAGACAACCAGGGGTCCCCAAACTTTTTAAACAGGACCAGTTCACTGTCCCTCAGACCCGTTGGAGGGCCGGACTATAGTTTAAAAAAAAAACCATGAACAAATTCCTATGCACACTGCACATATCTTATTTTGAAGTAAAAAAACAAATGGGGCAAAAGCAACTGGTGGGCCTGATAAATGTCCTCGGCGGACCGCATGTGACCCTCCCGTGGGCTGTCGTTTGAGGACTTATTTTGGAGGTGGTGGGCGTAGTCCCCAAGCTTGGCCTCCACATAAAACTTCAGCACCACAGACAGTGTTAAGTTGGAAGACTGGCACTGGCCCGCCGGGGCTGAGCTCGCAGTGGATCAAAAGTATAAGGTGGCCAGGGCTCCGCCTGGAATCTTGCTTGGATCCCGCCGGCCGGTCGTTGCTATGGGAACCTAGCAACAAAGAAGCCAAGAGGGCGCGGCTCGCGCGAGGGGTGCGAGGACGCAGGGAGGGGACCCTCCAGATGCCGGTGATCGCGCCGGGGGGCGGGGGGGGGGGCGCAGGGCAGCCAGACCCACCCGTCGGGCCTCCTGTCTGTCTTCAGGGACCGCCGCGCGGGGCTGGACGACCCCAGCCTCACCATGAATAAATCCTGGACTGGGGGGTGCCTCAGTCTCTTTGTCGGGCCCTGTAGACGCCACCGGGGGCGATAGTGACTGGGGGGCGCCATGCAAGAGTTCCCCTCGGGGGCAGGTGCACCCCCGCGGCGCTCCGATGCAGCCGGCAGCCTGGGAGGGGGAGCGGGTTCCCGATGCCCCGCCCCGGCCGGAGAGCCAATGGGTGCGCCTGCAGCCTTGGTGGGGTGGGGCCGGGCACCGGGCGGCGGCAGCGGGGGAGACAAGCGCGAGTTGCGAGAGCAGGGTGAGCGGGCGCACTGACCATGGCCTCCAAGTGCCCCAAGTGTGACAAGACCGTGTACTTTGGTGAGTGCCCAGTCCCCAGCTTGCTCCGGCCCCGCTCCAGCGCCTCAGCCGCCCTTCACGGCCAGCCCCCTGCCGCAGATCCCGCGCCCCGCGCGCGCCCGGCCTCCCGCCTGGACGCTGCCCGGAACCCTGCTCTCGCTGTCTGCCCGCTTGAGTGCGGCCGGAGGGTCCCGCCCTGGTCTTGCAAGTGAAACCGGGAGAGGGGGCGGCTACTGGCCGAAATGGGGCTAGCGGGGCGCCGTGCCCAGGACGCGGCCAGAGTCAGGGGCGCGCTCTGCGGTGCGGGCGCATCGCGGTCGGCATAGCGGAGAAGCACGGGGTGGGGCCGGGCGGGGTTTGGGCCCTTCCTGGCAGGCTGGACCCCAGATCTGCCGTGCCACGCACACGTGGTCAAGCTCGCGTGGCCCCACCCCGACCTCTGCGCGCACAGGACCGGCCCGGGCTCTGTCTAGACTTAGTCCACGCGGAGGCGACCGTAGCCTCTCCCTCCCGCGAGTCCTAACGCGCTCTCCCCGGGGTGGAGTGGGGGCGGGCAAGTGATGACACACGGGCCCAGGACCCATTCCACCTAGAGGCCGGAGCGAGTACCGCCTGGATGCCTCCAGGGCTGAAGCCCCAGGCAAGCTCTTGCCCACTCAGCATCCCCCCACGTGCCCCGCCCGCCAGGGTCTAGATCACTCACTGCTGCTCCCCAACCTTTGCTGGTGAGGGGCGTGCCCACCCGCTCTCACATCCCTACCACCTGCACAGAGATAGGCAGGGTTAGAGCTGGTACTGAGGCCATGCCTAGGACAGTGACAGGGCCAGACCAAAGTTAAGGAAGCCCTTGGAGAGGCTAGGGAGTGGGGGATGGGAGGGGGGGGGGGACGGGCAGGGGATACAGCCTTGTTTGCTGTTCCCAGAGGGCAGGGACCAGATTTGACACAGTGCTCCTGTGTCCCCAAGGGTCCTCCTGCCCAGTCCACTGCCCAAGACTGCCCTGGGCCAGGCCAGGCCCACTTGGGGCTCTCTGGAGCCCCAGCCAGCAGGCCTCCGGGCAAGCCGGAAAAGCGCGTCTGCCTTCCTGCCAGCTGCTGCCTTCCAGCACAAAACAAAGACTCCTTAGACCAACCAGCTGCTGAGGAGGAGGGGGTGCTGTGGGTGAAGTCCAGGTTCTGGCCCCCGCCCCCCAACCTGACCATCCCTGCCCCGCCCCAGCCACCCACCCATGGAGTCGCCCCCGGAGACCTCAATGCACCAGTGATGTCCAGAGACTGCCCCTGCTCCCTCCCGAGTACTTTAGGCAGGCCCAGGCCCGGCATTCAGGGTGTCAGTGTGCCAGTGTGTCTGAGGATGACTCCAGGCCTGGTCGGAGCTGCTTTGAGCTCCAACGGCCATGACCTCCAGAGGCAGCCCAACAGCGTCCTTATCTCAAGTGGTACTGGGAAGGGACCCCAGACCTGGTAGTAGAGCAGGACTGGCCAGCCTGCCCTGTGTGGCTGAGGGGAGGGGCCTGCCCTGCCATGCCCAGCAGCCTCAGGGGAGCCAGTGCAGCCAGCATTACTGAATTGGGGGTGAGAGGGCACAGCCCGGGCCCCCTTAGAAGACCCCAGTGCCTGGGCCTAACCAACTATGAGACCTGTGGGCTGTGCTGTTGCCAGGCCACCACTCCCTCGGGTTGCTAGAGCGGCCCTGAAGGATAGCTTTTGCTCTGTGGAATAGAGCCAGGGTGGTGGGGAGAGGTGGGGTGTGCTGGCCCTCCCCACCCCAGGCTCTCCACTTAGGCTAGGGGCCCTCCCCCCTCTTCCCTTCGGAATTCCAGCCCTGCCGGCCCTTCTTCCTGTCCTCTCTGCCCTTTTCCTGCTCTGCTCCCATGGGGAGGCCCTCGGCTTGGGCTTCCGGCTACTGGAGGCAGCCCAGCAGTCTGACGCCTGGAGGAAGGTCCATCCGGGAGCGCCTGACCCACCCTCTGGAGGCAGCTGGGCTCAGACCTCTGGAGACAAAGTGGCAGTGGGAAGGACATTAAGGGCTCAGGATGAAGGAGCTAAGTGTAGATGGTGGGGATCCTACCTGGGACCACCCTCGTAGGCACAGGGATGGACGTCTGTCTTTACCTGGCCTAGTCACACCACAGGCTGCACCAAAGGTGCACTATCCACTTTCAGCCCCTAGACCAGTGGTTCTCAACCTGTGGAGCATGACCCAGACTAGCGGTTCTCAACCTGTGGGGGTCGAACGACCCTTTCACAGGGGTTCGCTTAATACATCCCGCATATCAGATATTTACATCATGATTCATTACAGTTATGAAGTAGCATTGAAAATAATTTTATGGTTTGGGGTCACCACAACATGAAGAACTGTATTAAAGGGTCATGGTATGAGGAAGGTTGAGAACCACTGCCCTAGACCCTGGGATGGGGTGAGGGACAAGTGTGTGGGGATGGGGGAGGCAGGTGGCGGAGAGACAGGCCTGTAAGGAGGCAGGTGTGAGGGACAGATGTAGTGAGGCAGGTGTGAGCGGGAGGTGTGGGGAGGCAGGTGTGAGAGGAGGGACAGATGGGGGCGGCAGGTGGAACAGGTACGTGGGGAAGCAGGTGTGTGAGAAGTAGCTGGGAGGGAGAAGTGGCTGTGTGTATGTGAAGCTGGGATGAGAGGAAGCTGGTGGGAACAGGGTAGTCACTGCACCTGTCGGAGGACTAGCAGCTGGACACCTGGAGAAGCTGGCTCTAGGGGCTGGGAAAACTGGCCTGTCCTCCATGGGCATGGAGTCTGCCCGGAGGAAGCCTGTCTGTCAGGCCCTGCCCTCACCATTCCCCAACTTGCAGCTGAGAAGGTGAGCTCCTTGGGCAAGGACTGGCACAAATTCTGCCTCAAATGTGAGCGCTGCAACAAGACATTGACGCCAGGTGGCCATGCTGAGGTGAGCCCCTCCTGAGGATGGACAGGGCCAGTGCCATGCCCCCCCTCCCTCCTCAAGCTGGGGGAGGGTGCCCTAAGAAGCCTTTGGGAACTGCCTGGAACAGGAACAAGGCTCTCAGCCCACACTCCCTCTGCCTAGCATGACGGGAAACCCTTCTGCCACAAGCCGTGCTACGCCACACTGTTTGGGCCCAAAGGTGAGCCTGCCCGTCACCCCCCCTACCCTACCTCATCCCTGTGCTGGGACTCCTCCAGTGTCAGACCACCCCTGTGGGGCCCAGGGCGGGCGTGGGCACTGCTCCCCCCTACATACACACACACTTCAGCCTCCTCCCCTTTGCAGGTCCTTGCTCATAAGATGGGCTGTGGCGAATCCCTTTCTCAGGCGTTTGGGGTGGGTCTGGATGTTGGCTTGGCCTCTGTCCACCACCACCCCACCACCACCCAAGCCTGCTCCCACCCCCAGGTGTGAACATCGGTGGAGCCGGTTCCTACATCTATGAGAAGCCCTCAGCAGAGGGACCCCAGGTCTCTGGTCCTACTGAGGTCCCTGTGGCCCATGCTGAGGATCGGAAGGCTAGTGCCCCACCCAAGGGGCCTAGCAAAGGTGGGCTGGGCTGGGCTGGGCTGGGCTGGGCTTGTGGACGGGAGCAGCTTGTTGGAGTAGCCTCTGCCTCTCTGACCTGCTGCTACCTCCAGCTTCCAGCGTCACAACTTTCACTGGTGAACCCAACATGTGTCCTCGCTGCAACAAGAGGGTCTACTTTGGTGAGTGGCACGCGGGGGGGAGGGGGCGGGTGTCAGGCTCCCCCCTCCCTTCTGTGCCCTTTCCCATCTCTGCCAGCCTCACTGGCTCCCCTTCCCCAGCCGAGAAGGTGACATCTCTGGGCAAGGACTGGCACCGGCCATGCCTGCGCTGTGAGCGCTGCGGAAAGACACTGACCCCTGGGGGGCACGCGGAGGTGAGGGCTCCCAATGGGCCAGGCCAGGCGGGTGGGGGGTTCCCTTTGGAGGCCGGCAGGGTGGGGCCGAGCTGTGAAGGCTGCCCTCTAGTGGCTAGAAGCCAGAAGGCCTACACTCGATGCTCATACCTCAGGTGAGTGGACCTGGGTGTGGCCTTGGGGTGTTGAGGGCCCACTAGGAGGGGGGACAGGAGCATGATGACATCATCTGAGTGCAAGAGGGGGCTGCTGGGGCAGAGGCAGAGAAGGGCGGGTGAGCGCCTGGTCTCAGTTGGTCCTCCCCGCCTTAGCACGATGGCCAGCCCTACTGCCACAAGCCCTGCTACGGAATTCTCTTTGGACCCAAGGGTGAGTGTGCTCATGGGGACGCTGGGTTGAAGGGTCAGTCCGAATGTCTGGGCCCCTCTCCATCACTCCGATGATCTCTGCAGGCGTGAACACAGGGGCTGTAGGGAGCTACATCTATGACCGGGACCCCGAAGGCAAAATTCAGCCCTAAGTGTGACCACCTGCTACTGCCCTGCCTGCTGGCCCACCGCCCTGCTCCCTGGGGCTGCCCGGTGAGGGCTGCCTACAGATCAATGCACCAGAGTTGTGAAGGACCCCGCCCCCATGCTATCTACCAACAAGGCCCATGTATCCCCGTTATCTGTCACCCCTAGTCCCTATGTATCACCCATATCCATTGTATATACATGTGTCCCTGAATGCGCCCCAGTCTGTGTGTCCCCACGTGTCCTCTTGTCTCCTGTGTCCTCAACCAGGTCTCTCAGATGGCCTCCTCATGTTCCGCCCCCTGCGGGCGGCCCACCAGTGTTATTTACGCTCCTGAGCTACGCCTTCACTGCACCTGCAGGCACGCCCTCTGCCAGCGCCCACACTGCCCTGCAGCCCTCACGTGCCCAGACTTACGTCAATAAAGAGTTTGAGAACTGCAGACCCTCGCAGGTGTGCCTCTGATGGTGCTGGGAGCAAGGCAGCGCCCTGAGACCATGTGTCTTGCGCCTGGTGGGACGGGAATGGCACCCAAGGGCGTTTCAGAAGGCAGGTGGAGTGTGAGCCCAGCCCTACTGATGAGGAGGGGCTGGCAGGGACTTGGGCTCTGATTGGGGCAGTGTGGGGGGAGGGGGCACTGAGGGATGGAAGGGTCCCCAAAGCCTCAGAGGGGCCCTCGAGGGGAGCAAGCAGAGTTAGGGTACTGAGGTGAAGCCCCGGGTGAGTGGCACCAACATGGCACAGCCAGGAGTGGCAGAGGGGCGGTGGGCATGGGCCACATGTACCCCTCAGAGACCCCAGCCCAGTGCATTCTGGGGAAGAGTGGAGGCTGTGGAGGGAAGAGGGGGCGTGGTCAGCACTGGTAGGCGGTGCTCCACTGTCCCGCCCACCCTCGCCCTGCTGGCCCTTAGGGGTAGGGGTGTAGCCCCAGGGCAGTGAGGGCTGTGCCACTGCCTGGATTCCCAGCCCTCCCTGTCCTAGTGTTCCCACCATGCCAGCGGTCAGGGCTCCGGGTTGGCAGTGAATAGAGCTGCGGGCCTTCCCAGGGGTCTGCCCCTGGCCTGCCCAGGTTCAGCCATGCCCGGGGCTGGCACCAGAGGGCGCCTTCACGCGCCCTCTTCCTGCTCAGCTGGGGCCTGGCCAAGGCTCAGTGCCCGCCCACCTCTGCCCCAGACCCCAGATGAGGCTAACGCTCTCCAATCTTGGGCCCCGCCAAGGCCTACGGCGGCGGGGAGAGGAGGCGCACGTCCAGCCTGAGCATCTCTGGAACCCATAGCCTCTCTCCCACACAGGGCCCCGGGTCCACCCCTGTTCCCAGCTCACCAGTGCTACCGAGCCCCTTCCCTGACTAGTGGCCCGGCCCAGGCCCCCCCACCCCCACCCCCCAATGGTCTCAGATCAAGCTGACGACCAGGACCGCAGCCCTGGTCCATTGTCCCATGTGCAGCCATCTTCGGAAGAGCTGGGGGAGGCCAGCTCCCAGCGTTGCAGTGGCCTCAGTGCTGGCCCTGGGTAGCAGCTGAATGAGAGCTGGGGCTGCTTGGGGATCATGGGGCACCAGCAATGGGTCCTGGGTTCTCACCTCAGGCTGAGGGGCGGTAGAGCTGGGTTTGGGGGCCCTTGGTGCATGGGTCCGCCAGGCCAGGGTTTCCTGGCTGGGATTGTTTGAGGAGAGCTCTGACTGCCCTCTGCTCAGTCTCAGTGGGGAATGGAGAGGGGGTGGGAGGAAAGCCTGAGCCTCCCTCTCAGGACCCACCAGTGGAAACTCAGGAGGAAAGCCCCTTCCAGAAGCCGCTGGGGACCAGCAGCAGATTTGGCTGCGAGGGTCGAGGGTCGATGAGCCCTAAGCCTGGTAGCGGCCACAGGGCAGCAGGTCCGGCCCTTGGAGAGGGTGGGGCAACTCCATTTCCTGCTGGCCTTGGGGCCGTGTTTGTTTCCTTGGGGTTGTCATGGAAACTGGGGCGGGCGCCGCTACTGTTGTTTCCCTGGCTGCCTTGCTGGACTGAGTCAGTTGAGGCGGCAGGGGCCTGGCTGCCCAGAGCCACTCGGTGGCACCAGTTCCAGGAACACCCCTGCAGCCCTGCCTCTGCAGGCCACTAGCCAGGTGCTTCCTGGTTCCAGCCCCACCCCAAGATGGCACGGAGGCGAGAATGTGTGCCTTTGTCCCTGGGTGTGTCCCCGCCCTCCCTACTTCCCTTCCACCCTCAAGGCACCAGCCAGAATGCCCATCCGCTCACCCGCCACCATGACAACCACCATAGCTCCTAGGAACCAAGTCCAGGGACCCCTAAGGCTGAGCTGCCTGGCCAATTGTACCCCAATCCCATTCTGCTAAAAGCCCAACTGCCTTTTTCCTCCCCAGTGTCCTGTGCTATGACCACACACTGCAGCCCGCCCCAGCTCTGGGCCCCCCCAGGGGCATCTGCAGGGCCTGTACTGCCTGCCCTCTACCAACCCCACTTCCTTTAGGGCCCATGGTCTCCTCCTCAGAGCCCACTTCCTACACCAGTGACCTTTGACATCCATTCTGGCTACATCCTCACTCCACCCTACCCCCCACCCCACTCCCCCCAGCCTCCATCACCTCCTGATTTTCCCAGGTCTTGGGCTCATACCCAGCCCAAGGAAACCTCCCTAAACTTCCTTGAGACTTGAGGGTCTGAGTCTGTTCCGCCCTGGGATCTGGAAACAGCCAGTCGGCCCCAAACTGCTTCTGTGCCTGGGAGAGGCTAGGTTTCAATACGCAGCAATAGGCCCCCCGCTCCTCAGCCTGGGACCAGGGGATGAGGGCTGGGAGCAGGTGTGGGGGATTCTCAGGTCCAAGGAGGACAATGGGGGCTAGCAGTTGGTATGGCCCAGCCTCTGGGCCTGCAGGAAGCTCTGTGGGGCTTTCACTCCAGCAGGGAGGAGCCCTGTGTCCTGGCCAGAGGAGGGGTACACGTAGGGTGTACCTGGGCTGGGCTGGGCTGGCTGCGGGGCTCTGGGTCATTTGTGCAACCCTCCCTTTGACTCCTGCTTCCCAGAGAGTAGGAGGTGCAGTGTCCTCCCACCTGGGCCCTGGAGCTGCCATCCAGGCTGGGAAGCTTTCCTGGGAAAGGGCAGCATCCAGTTCCTCCTCCCCATCCCTTCCCCCACTCCGGCCAAGCAGACCCACGCTGGGGCGGGACTCTGGACAGACTAGACTCCCAGGAGATAGGATGCTGAAAATAGGCCCTGGGAATGTCTGCATGTCCCTGATTCAGCCGCTGGTTGAGTGAGGTTGGTGGATGTATGTGCGAGTGAGTGAAAAAGAGAGAGAAAAGGTAGAAGGGGTCTGGCACCTGATTTAGTTGCATGGTTCCACATGCCTTCACACTGTGAGCTGGTCCTGCAGGATACCTGGGTGCATGGAAACAGGATTGCTCCAACCCAGAGGGGCTTCCTTCCCACCTGCTCACACTTCCAGCTTCCCGTCCTGAAGGGGGCTGAGCTGCAACAGGGATGGATGGGTGCCCTGAGGATGGTAGAATCAACCCCCCGGAGAAGACAATTTGGGACGGAGAGAGCAGGGGAGGGGGGCACGCATGGCTCCCAGAAGAGCAGGACTTACTCTTGCTGGTGGACACCATCTCAGAGCTGCCTGCAGGCTGAAATTCCTCAGCGGTCACTGCAGGCGGGTCCTGCCTTGAGGCGTCCTGGAAGCCTCCACAGTGTGCTTCCCTGGTTTCTCTGCCCATCCCCACGCCCTACCCTGCCAAGGCAGGGCCCCTGCTGCCTCTCACCAGTCTGAGCCAGCCATGGGCAAAACTCAAGAGGGGAAGGACATGTGGGTGTTCCCAGATGGGGAGCAGGTAGAAGAAGCGTCAGGGGGTGCCCTCAGCTTGTCTTTGAATGCTCTTGGATAGAGACAGCCCAGGGCAAGTAGCCCAATGCTATTTGCACCCACCACCACCACCACCCACCTGCCCAGTGTTGGCAGAGAAGGGGCTGGTTCGGGAGCAACAGGAGGGCCCATGTCAGGGAGCTTACCCTGTCCAGGTGGCCCACAGAGGGGACAGGTCAGCTGATAGGACTGAAGGGCGTTGTGCCTGGCTGCAGCCCAGGGACCTGGGGGCTGCAGTTGGTGATGGTGGCAGCCACCTGTAGGCATGCTGGCCCAGGAGCACAGACCCAGTGGGGCTGAGTGTGTGATGTTTTAGAGAAGTATCCCAGGGAATGTGTGTCTGGGTGTGTGTTGTGTGTGTTCTTAGTTTGTGTCTGTGTGTTGTGAGTGTCTAAGTATGTTGTATCTGTGTGCATTTGAATGTGGGTTGTCTGAGTGGGTGTGTGTGCATGTGTTATGAGTGAGTGTCTATGTCTGTGAGTGGGTATGTACCTGATGGAATGTCTGTGAATGTGTGTTATGTCAGAGTATGTGTTTGAGTGTGTTGTGTCGGGGTGTATGTGTGAGTAGGTGTGTGTCTGAGGGAGTGTCTTTGAGTGTGTGTTGTCAGACTGTGTTTGAATATGTTGTGTATGGGTGTGTCAGAGTGTGTTTGTCTGAGTGTGTTGTGTCTGGGTGTCAGGATGTGTCTGTGAGTGGGTGTGAGTCTGAGGGAGTGTGTCTTTGAGTGTGTGTGAGCAGCTGTTTGAGTGTGTGTGGGTGTCTGAGTATATGTGTGTCTGAGGGAGTGTGTCTTTGAATGTTAGTGTGAGTGTGTGTTGTGTCTGTGTGTCTACCGTTGGTATGTGTCTGAGTGTTTGAGTGAGTGTGTCTGAAGTAGTGTGGCTGTGTGCTGAGTGTGTCTGTGTGTTGTGTCTAAATGAGTGTGTCTGAGTGAGGGAGTGTATCTTTAAGTGGGTGTTGGTAGTGCCTGTGTTTCAGTGTGTGTGTGTGTGTGTGTGTATGAGTTTTGTCTGAAGCAGTGTGTGTGACGAGTGGCTGTGTGTCCTGGTTGAGTCTATAAACACAGTTGGAGCTCCCACCACAGGGCAAGACCCTGTAGTGTGGGCCCCTCCCGCCTCCCCGCCCTGTGACCACAGCAATGGAAATAACAGCAGAGACAGTCAGGAAGAGACTCTACACCCCAGTTTGCAAGGGGGACCTGCTCAGCATGCAATGCGTGGTCGGAGTCCAGAGTGTGGGGATGGGGCTGTCCCTGGGGTGGGGCCTTGGAGGTGAGGACAGGGACTGGCCATTGTCAATCTACAAATCCTAGGCTGGGACTTGTGAGATGTGAATAATGGTTAAACAGTAAGGGGCAGATAACCAGTCACACACCCAAGACACACACTTATACACAGGCACACCCAATCTCATCCACAGCCACACACACACACACACACACACACACACACACAAGCATCTCCCTGTGTATGGGCATCATTAGGCACCCTGCCCTGTGGACAAGCCTCCCAAGCCTCCTTGAGGGCTGCCATCCCACCCAACTCTGACTCCTACCCTCTCGCAGGCCAGGCATAGCCTGCACTGTCCCAGGCTCTGCCCTCAGCCACACTCAGTCTAGGGGCTCTGTACCCTGGCTTTCCCTGCATCCCCCTTCACCTCAATAACCTCTTTCTGCTTGGCTGTCTCTAGTCACCTGCCCAGGACCTTTGCTTGGTCCCACATTTTGTCCCTGGCTGCTGGGCCCATGACTGCCTCTCTCCTGCTAACGGAGGGTCCTGGGCCTTCGAGACCACCACCCTTCTGTCCCCAGCATGGCCTCCCCCAACAGCAACAGCAGCAAGACTAAGCCAGGGGTGGGTTGGAGGGTGAGGAGGCCAGGCTGGTGCCCATGAGGACAGTGGTGTCTTCTGCCAGGCAGAGGCCACTGGGGTCAGATGTGACTGTGGGTGCCTGGGTTCCTCAAGGCAGAGGGGAGGGTTTGGCTGGCAGAGGACCATACCCTGCCCCTTGGTTGCAGTACTCAGCTCTTGCTGAGGGGTTTAAGGCCAGTCAGGGTGGCTGGGACCCTGGTCAAAGGGTGGTATCCAGAAATGACGTTTTGTTTTTCAAGGCGGGTGTGTGGACACTGGTGATGGAGCAGGTGGGGAGACACCCTGGCCAGGAGGAAGAACAGGGGACTGGCTAGGCATCCAGGGGGAAGCAGGGCGTGTCCTTGGTGGGCAGGAAGGTTATGGGAAGCCAGTGCATAGGACAAAGAGAGAGGCAAGTAGGCTGGGCTGGGCTGAGGTCTGGCTAACGGAAGAATTGGCGCCCCTCCCTA